TATATGTGTGTGGATTTGTTTCTGCATTCTCTATTCTCTTCTATTGGTCTATATGTCTATGTTTATGCCAGTACCATTCAGTTTTGGCTGCTATCACTCTGTAGTATAATTTGAAGATTTGAAGTCAGATAATGTAATTTCTCCAGGATTTTTTTTTTTTCTTAAGATGGCTTTGGTTATTCTGATTTTTTTGAGGTCCTATATAAATTTTAGGATTTCTTTTTCTATCCATGAAAAATGTCATTGGTATTTTGATAGGAATTGTATTGAATCTGTAGATTGCTTTGAGTAGGATGGACATTTTAACAATATTGATTCTTTCAGTCTATGAAGATGGAATATATTTCTATTTATTTTATGTCCTCTTAAATTTATTTCATTGGTGCTTTATAGTTTTCCTTATAGAGACCTCCACACTCTTTAGATAAGTTAATTTATATGTATTTAATTTTATGTGTGGCTACTGTAAATGGGATTTCTTTTTTTTTTTTTTTTTGAGACGGAGTCTCGCTCTGTCACCTAGGCTGGAGTGCAGTGGCCCGATCAGGGCTCACTGCAAGCTCTGCCTCCTGGGTTCATGCCATTCTCCTGCCTCAGTCTCCCGAGTAGCTGGGAATACCAGTACCTGCCACCACGCCTGGCTCATTTTTTGTATTTTTAGTAGAGATGGGGTTTCAACGTGTTAGCCAGGATGGTCTCAATCTCCTGACCTCGTGATCCACCCGCCTCGGCCTCCCAAAGTGCTGGGATTTCTTTCTTTCTTCTTTTTTTTTTTTTTTTCAAGTTTTTCATTGTATTTAGAAATGCAACTTAATTATGCATATGGATACGGCATCCCGAAACTTTATTGAATGTATTTATCAGTTCTAATAGTTTTTCAGTGGAGTCTTTAGGTTTTTCCAAATATGTGATCACATAATCTGCAAACAAGATAGTGACTTCCAAAAAGTACAGTAGAGAAGGAGGTGGGAAAATCACTTTATGGTGGAGAAACCTAATCAACATTGCCCCAGCCAGGTGACCAGGACTAAGCCATGTTGATGGAGTATACTGTAGACAGGATGGGATGGGAATGGCACTTCCCTCTGCAATCTTCCTTACAAAAACACATAATTCCAGTCAGATCATAAGGAATACATCAGACGAATTTCAGGAGCGGACATCCTACAATATATCTGACCAGTATTCAAAGTGTCAAGGTCATCAAAAACAAGGCAAGTGTGAGAAACTGTCACAGCCAAGAGGAGCCATGACTAATTGTAATTGTAATGTGGTACCCTGGATGGGGTCTTGGGACAGAAAAGGTATGTTAGGGCAAAACCAAGGAAATCGGGACCAAACATAGGCTTTAATTAATAATGATGTATTATATTGATTAATGTATCAACAATTATTATTGCCATAATAATTATGACAAATGGACCACAATGTAAGATTGTAGGAACAGGGTAAATTTAGGGCAGATGAGAACTTTCTGTGTTTTCTCCAACTTTTCTGTGAGTCTGGAACTACTCTAAAATAAAAACACTGATTTTTAAAAATATATTAAGCACATCATTAGTCATCAAGGAAAGGCAGATTAGAGCCTCAATGAGACACCACTCCATAGACACCAGAGTGGCTTAGAGAAAATGAATCAACAACACCAAGAGTTGATAGGTAATGTGGAGCACCTAAAACCCTCATACATTTCAGGAAGGAATGTAAAATCTCACAATCAATTTGGAAAGCAATTTGATAACTTTTTAAAAATCTAAAAACAAATCTTGATATCTGACCCAGAAATTTCGCTACTTGTAGATACTTACGCAAGTAAAGTGAAAGCATATGTGTATGCAAAGTCTTGTACATGAGTGTTCTTAGCAGTTTTATTCACAATAGCCACAGACTGGAAACAACCCAATCTGTGTCTGTCAGCTGGTAGTGACTGGATAAACAAACCGTGGTTTATTTGTGGAATGGAACACCACTCAGCAATGAAAATGAATGAATGACTCACGTATTCTGCAACATGGATGGACCTCAACACCATTATGTCAAGCAAGAGAAACCTGGTAGAAAGAGGACATACTGTATGCTTCCATTTATGTGAAACCCTAGAACAGGCAAAAATAATCTGTAGAGACAAGGAGTAGATCAGTGGTTCCCTGGGGCAGAGGATGGGGGAAGGGAGCTGATAGCAAAGGGACACAAGGGAACTGTTCCAGTGATGAAATTATTCTTATTTTAATTGAGGAAGTGGTTACCCATGTCTACATGTTTATCACAACTCACCAAATTGTGTGCTTCAAATGGATGCATTTTATCATGTGCAAATTGTACCTTAATAAAGTTGAATTTTTTTAAAATCAAAAGCAACAACAAAAACAAAAAATATTGAGAATCTAACTGGAATTGCATTATTTATACACCTGAGTGTGTGTGTGTGTGTGTGTGTGTGTGTCCCAGACTGGAATGCAGCCGTGGAATCTCGGTTCACTGCAGTCTTGATACCCCAGGCTCAAGCAAGCCTCTCACCTCAGCTTTCCTAACGACTGGGACCACAGGCAGGCACCAGCACACATGGGTAATTAATATATATATGTAGTAGAGATGGAGTCTTGCTATGTATCCCGGGCTGGTCTCAAAATCCTGTGCTGAAGTGACCCTCTCACCTCCATGTCCCAAAGTTCTGGGATTACAGACATGAGCCACCATGCCTGGCCAGAATTTTTTAAACAGCACTATGGGAGCAGGGTGTGGTGGCTTATGCCTGTAATCCCAGTGATTTGGGTGGCCGAGGTGGGAGAATTGCTTGAGGCCAGGAGTTTGAGATTAGCCCGAGCAACATAGCAAAACCTAAACTCCACAAAAAATAAAAACAAAAACAATAATAATTAGCCCGACATGATGCCTTGCGCCTGTGGTCACAGCAACTCGGGAGGTTGAGCGGGAAGGATCGCTTGAGCTCAGGAGTTCCAGACAAGTCTGGGCACATACCTAAACCTCATCTCTACAAAAAGTACAAAAATTATCTCAGTTTGGTGGCGTGTATCTGTAGTCCAGCTACTCGGGAGGCTGAGACAGGAGAATCACTTGAACCGATTCTCCTATCTCAGTCTCCCAAGTGGCCGCAGTGACCTGAGATCACGCCACTGCACTCCAGGCTGGGCTACAGAGAGAGAACCTGTCTCTCTAAAAAACAAGCATGTAAACCAACCAACTGACCCACTGTGGGTTCCCCTCCAGCGTCCTGTGGTGTTTCCTGCTGTCTTCTTTCGCCTGTGTGTGAACCCAGAATAATAAATGCCAGTGGTGTGTGTCTCACACCCATCTCCAGCCCCATCACCATCTCTCTGAGCTCGGCTCTTTTTACAAAAGGCCACTTGACATCATCACTTGGCAGCTCAAAAGCTCCTTCAACCCAGTGTGCACAAGCCAAGCTCCGTATCTTCCCATTCAGAGCAGGTTCTTGGTCCACCTCTGTCTGAATGAACGAGCTGCCAAGACTGCAGTCTCTTCTCCAAGGGCTGTCCACACTGGATCTCGCATTTTCTTGTAAATTTCTCTCCCACCAGGGAACTTTCTCCTCCTCTGCCTTCCAAAGTCCTAGGCTAATAGGACACTGCACCCAACCCCCGAGGGATGCAATAGCCTTCTTCCCTCTCCCAGGTTATTCTGTGCTACCGGGGTTGGCTCTCCTTCACAGCCAGGCTGGTCGTTTTGGAAATATTAACTCACTGCAGGACACCGTTCCATGGTTTTTGCTGCCTTGGAACAAGACCAGCTCCTGCGTGGCCCCTGCCTCCACCTGACACCACCTCTGGGTCTGGCCCTGGCCTCCCCTCCATTTCCAGAATGGGCCGGGCTCCCTTCCAGTCCGGGTCTCAGCACGCTTTCTTCACTCCGCTGCCTCTCTCCCTGCTTCTCCCAACCCGGTTCAGGTTGACTAATTTCAAATTTTATATTCCAGATTTCAGCCCAAATTTCCCCACTTTGGGTGTTTTCTTTGACCATACATAGATCTAATCTAATCACATCTTCCTATTAGCCAGTTTCAGGGCACCACACCACCCTTTTGGTGGCACTTAAATGTAATTATGCATTGTTTCTCAATGATTAGATTAATCAATCAACCATTGAAGTCTATAAATGGCGGCATATCAGCAGAGCCCCATTTGACAGGCAGGGGACTGGCCCAATGCACCTTCCAAGCCCAGCCAGGCCCGCCCCAGCCGGCCCCCCTCTGACCACGCCTGTCTCTTACGTAATTGCCTTGCTGCCATATAAGAGGGACCGCGCTGGGCCTCCAGCAGTCCACTTTCTGCTGGGTTCTGAGCCAGAATCTGCTGCGCGCGCCCTCCCTCCCTCCCGCCCCCCCGCCTGCAGGAGGACGACCTCAGAGCCACAGCCCTGAACCTGTGGACAACTCCAGCTCCTTTGGCCTCTCTTCGTCGAAGAGTCTCCAAATTTTCAGATCTCTGGAGCGAGCTGTAGGAAGATCAGGTGTGTGTGTGGGTGTCCCTGAGGGGTGAATAGAGCTTGGATGGGTGCAGTTGGGGACAGAATCTTCATTCCCTAGAAAGGCCACGGCCACTCCCTTGACTTTTCACCCGTCTTCCTAAATCCGTTCTCTGTCCTCACCTTCCTTCCCTCTTCCCTTGAGGAGGAAGCATTCCTCCAAAAGGCCTACTTTAGTCTCCCCTCTCCCAGCTTTCCTGTAGGAATGGGGATAAATTGAACCGCCTGTAGGCCAATCCCTGCTGGCTACTAGCTTCCCCTCGGAAACACTTTACTGTGTGGAAATCTCCCACAGCCACAGCCTTCACACAGTTCTACTGGGTGGCACGTGGGCTCGGTCGGTGCCCAGGCAGCCAAGTGCTCAGAGGATTGTGGGCATTGGAGGCCCTAGAGGAGGGTGTGTGGTGGGGGTCTGCATGGCTGCCTGGAGCTTAGGAAATGAGGCTCTGTTTTAACTCTACTGATGTGTTTTTCTCCCCACCGCCTCCCGTAGATTCCTCATGGAGGAACCAAAGCGTTCAAAGCGACTTCGCTCCATGGACCCTAATCAAGGTACATGAAACGCCTGCAACTCTCTTTTTAAATTTTTCTGGATTTTTACTTTACCTTTGGTATTGACTTATAGAACTTACAGAGGCAAATGTGGCATGCTATGAAATGCAGCAGCTCCTGCTCCTTCTCAGTCTCCTACACCTTTGGAAACACCACCTCCATCTGTGTAGCCAATTCTTTCAGCATTCTCTCTCACTCTTTAAATAACATGCCTACACTACTGCTATTTCTTTTTCCTTTTAGAGTTTACTTACGGTCTTCCCTCTAGGATAGAGGAATATTTAGCTGTAGTTTACACACTGCCACCACCACCACCAATCACCCAAGCACCATGCAACACACAGCCCAGGACACACACCCTCTGTTCCTCCCCACTGCCCAGGAGCAGAGAGAATATTAGGAGGATTACTTTCCACTTCTTGCATAACTTGAATTTCCCAGGACTTAATACTTGCCTTGGGTTTTTATGGGCTTACTGATCACTAGTTCGTTACCCAATTCTTCCACAATTGTTTAAATTCAAACTCAATCAAGCATTATCTGTTTCACTTTCTCATAGCCTGCTTCAGCCTGGGCTGTTTGCTGTAAGACAGCTCCCAGCTTCCACATCATCTGGGAAATTACTTTCCCTTTTTATAATTGTATCCCATTTCCCAAATCTGGTGTCTTTTTTTTTTTTTTTTTTTTTCCTTGTTTTACTGTTTCTCTGTAGTGGAGCAAGTCCTCACACTACATCTTCATCTATGATAAATCCGTACTTCCACCTTGTTCCTTTCTGTAGGAATTGGAATTTTACAACTATTGCCACATTGTTCTCCAAAACATTTGCCTTCATACACTGAGTATCCTAAAACTTTTAATCTTGTCTAGTTTGACAGATGCATAACAATAAAGCATCCATTGAAAGGAAAGTATATAAGATCTTGCTTGTCTGAAACATCTTCATTCTACCCTTCCTGATTCTTAAGTGAAACTTTGGTTGGATATGAAATTTTAGGTGGGAAATCCATTTCCCTTGAAATTTCGAGGACACTTTCTGTTATTTTCTAGATTTAACTGCTGCTTTTGAGACGTCTGATTTTTGAGACATGTTGAATCCTAGCCCTTTCCATGTGATCTTTCCTTTCTTTCTCTTTCTCCCTGTCTTTGGAATCTTTTAGAATATTTTCTTTGTCATCAGCACTCTGAAATTTTATGGTGATATGTCTCACTGACAGTATGCCTCTAATTTTCTTATAGTTTATCCTTCTTTCCACCATTTTAGATTTTTGCTTTCTTTTCTGGCAGATCTTCTCAACTTCATTCTCAAATTTCCACAGAGATTTTTGTTTCTTCTTTCATAATTGCAATTTCAAAAATCCCTATTGTCTGTGAGTATTCATTTTTAAAAGTATCCTATAATTGATTTATGGGTAAAATTCCTTCTATCTCTCTAGGAATATTAGCTATAGATATTTTTAGAAAATCTCATTTCTGGCATAAACTGTTTTCTCCAAGTTGGCTTATGTCATCTCCTCCAGCAAGACATTTTGATCATCTCCTTCCCAATACATGTTAAGATGCTTGCTTGATCTAGATACTAATCTAAACATTTCACTTTTAGTAACTCAGTTCTTGTAAGGATCTAGGGGTTGGCATGGTATTATACCAGTTTATGAAAAGGGGAACCGATGCCCAGGTAAATTAAGCTGCCTGAGAATACAGCCCAGGCATTCTGGATCCAGACCCACCTCCCTTGTGACACCCTTCAACTCCTAACTGGTCGCTCATTAGCATCATTCATTTTTTGGTGTTCTGTTTGTCTGTCCTACTGAAGTTGAACCTCAGTGAGGGCAGGAAGCATGCCATTTTTATTCCAATTCGATCTCTCTAGGGAACTGTAGACTCATTTATTCATTAGCAAAATGCAGATCATAATATTCGACTGACAAGGTTGTTGCAAGGACTTGCAATGGAAAGCTCATGGAAAGCGCTGTAGGACCCTGGGCAGACAGAACTCCTGAGGGCTCACCTTGCAGGCCTCTGCTGACCCTCATTCTGTTCGCCGGGGTTCCCATGGGCCCTCCCTCAACCCCTCACCTCATCTCCCTTCCCTGAAGGCTTCCTGGGCAGCCCATATTCAATTTCCTTACACTCTGCTTCTCTTTTTGCCTCAGGTGGGCGTCCTACAGAGCCAGGCTGCTCTATTGTGGACCGTGAAGACTCCGTGGAAGCAGATGGGCCCGCAGAGCCAGCCCAACCTGCAAAACGGATTGCTTACGTGAAACCCTTGAGACGGGAGCCCCCAGCTTGCACAGAGTTGGCTCCTCCTACAGAGAGAGGCCAGAGGCGGGGAGGAAGCCGGCGGGTAGGGCGAGGGCGAGGGCGAGGCCGTGGCAGAGGGAGTGGGCCCCGCAGGGACGCTGGCCAGGGACAGGGGGCAGAACACTTGCTGGGACCAGACATGCACATCCAACTGCACCACCATGGAGAGCCAGGCCACCAGGGGGAACCGGAAATCAGGCAGACCTCAGCCTTCTCTTTTCCTGAAACAGCTCCTGTCCCTGGAACTGTGCAGGAAGGCCCTGGCCCTGATGTGGCCCATCCTGAGGTGGGGCGTCAGGAGCCGCCCCCTGCCTCTGAGCCTGAGGCTATCAACGGGCAGCCCATGTTGACCCTCTATCCCTGCATCGGGTTTAGGGCTCTGGGTGGCTCAGCTGTTTTACAGGTCATTCAAACCCCCAACGGCACTTATGTGCAAGGGATCCCAGTGTTCGTCGCCGACATTGTATGGTGGCGTCTATCTGTCACCCACATTGTTCCCAGCCTCCCTTTCTTCCACCTGGACTTTCCTCCACCCCCAAACTCCAGCCCCATTTCTGCTCCACTCCTCCCCTCCCATCCCAACCGAAGCCCTCACCTTGTGTTGTCAGGATGGAACCTCCACACCCTCCTCCCAAGATCCTGACAGTATTCCATCTGCTTCCAATGCCCCTCTTGTCCCTGCTTTGTACCTTCTGTCAAAGTTACACATGCATGGAGTTCCTCAATGCTTGGTAAAACAGGCCAGCAGCTCCCCTAATCTTACTGTGCTTATATTAAATGCCAATTAGAGATACTTGGGATGAAAAACAAGGTTGTTGGAATCCAAAGTTATGTTGATGGTTTGAATCACAGAATAGATAGGACTGAGGAACAAATCTGTAAAAACTGGATGTTTAGGCAAGAGAGAGATGGACAGTGCAACAGAACAGTCGTCCTGAGGACCAGAGGTCATCTAACATGGAGCTCTCCCGGGAGAGCCAGAACATTTGAATGACAACAAAATACAAGGAAATCATGGCTAATGATTTCTCCCAATGGAAGAAATATATGAATCCTGAGCAGGATACAAGAAGAACACCCACGGAGAGTATGAGGTATGGTGAAGAGAACATTGCAAAAGCTGCCTGAGAGCTGAGACCTACAAAGAAAGCAGAATCAGGGTGATGTTAGACTTTGCCTGGCAGCATGGATGACTATGGAAAGCAATGGTGCAATATCCTCACAGCTTTGAGAGGGAAATGACTCTGAATCTAGTGTTCTATGAGCAATCAAAGAAATGGTTAGGGAGAGAAGGAGGCAGGCGGTGTCAGCTCAAGGGCAAGGCCACATGAAGGGAGAAATGGCATACAGAATAAGGCAGAATCCTACTCACACTGGACCTGAAGCCTGAGTTTCTCCTGAACTTAGAGTACACAACTTATAATGTGCAAGCTTCTAAACCCCCTTTCTGTATAAGGCCATTTGAATGGAACTGTTACGCACAGTGAAAGTACAAGTCATGTTTTTCAGCCGGGAAAAAACCGAACCAGACAACCTGGAAGAAGTGGGATGCAACAGGAGTCAGTAAGCAAGGAAATTAGGAAACTGTGTTATTAAGTCAAGATAAGTATGATTCTGGAAGAAAGATGGGTGACCTAGAATTAAAATTTCAGAAGACTTTGACATAGACAGGTGGGGCATGGGAAAATTCAGAAGGAGCTAGAAGTTACTGAAATTCTTTTTTAGCACCTGGAAATGATATAGTGGCTGAATTTATATTCAGCAATGAAATTCTAGACTCTGACACATTTTTAAGTCTCAATGTAGGTACCCATTGGGAACCACTAAATGAATTGGAATAGAATGTAAAATTTCAAACAGATTGAGGAAAAAGGGGATCAAAGAACATTTGATGAATCAAACAAAAGGTGTGTGGTGGTGGGAGAGGCAGGGGGAGTTAATAGAAACAAGGAGAGTGCGTGACTCACTGAAAATGCTAAATAAGGAATCAGTAAATTGATGGCAGTGTCCTTGGCTTCCTCCTGGTTTTAATGGGAGTATTTTAAATGTTTCACCATTAACCAAGATGTTTGCTGTGAGTTTCTCATAGATATTTAAGTTGAGGTAGTTCTTATCTTTTCAGAGTTTGATAAAACCTGTATTGTGAATTGGATTTTCTATTTTATTAAGTAGGTTTTTATTAGCTGATTTTCACTCATTTGTAAATGTCCAAGTAAAATAAAGATAACTTTTTACATCAAAGATTTTTTTCTTGTATATTCACTCCTTTTAAATAAAACCTTCTGTTAGAGTTATTTTATGCTACAGTTCTTTTACTAAAATTTCATAAATTCCAAATATAAAATGTGTTTACTAAAACCAGAAAATTAAAGTAGAGAAATAATGTCTCATGTCTCTGTTCTCCATTCCTATTGTATCTTTCTCCATAATCACACAAGTCTATACAAACAAACATGTACATTAAAAGCATCATTTGTGGCTTGATTTTACAAACACCTGGCATGCCATCTGCCAGGGGTCATGTTGAAGTGGCTATAGGGTCCACACAGGTAACGCAGGTGTGATTAGGACCAGCACCTCAGTGGAGCTCATGCCTCTCCAGAAAAGGCACAGGCGACTTCGTATTGAAGCACTGCATGGATCACAATGAGCACTGTGCAGTGGGAGCTACTCCTTGGCTTGCCATTGGGGTCTGTCATCCCCAAGCCGAAGCACCCTAGCAGTCATCATACACACATGTGCCACTATCTTCTTGCTGTATATCTGTCTGAAAAAGGCACAGGCTTTAGGTTGTGCAGGTGATGGTCTGCTGACAGACTGCTTCCAGGATGCTTCTGCCACCAAAATACTTCATTAAACATTTGTACATGGAGTAAGACAGGGTCTCATTCAGTCACCCAGGCTGGAGTGCAGTAGTGCAATCACAGCTCACTGCAGCCTGTACCTCCTGAGCTCCAAGACCCTTTGGCACCAAGACCCTTTGGTAATTTGTCTTGGTTTGTTTGTTTGTTTGTTTATTTAGAAACAGATTCTCACTCTTTCACCCAGGCTGGAGTGCAGTGGCTTCAACTCACTGAAACCTTCGCTCCCTGGGTTGAATGTAATTTTTGTGTCTCAGTCTCCCAAGTAGCTGGGACCACAGTCCTGTGCCACCATGCCTGGCTAATTTTGTGATTTTAGTAGAGACTAATAACGCCCAACCAGTTTAAAGACATTAGGTTGTACCTTTTTCCTCTAATGCATCTTTTCATACAATGCAGCCTCAGCCAAACCTCTTCTTTCAAAATAGTTTTCCCACCAGAATTTCTGTAGAATTCGTATTATTTATTCAATGAATGTTTGGTAGAATTAACCAGTAAAACCATGCCTGTGGCAGCGTTCTCTTTTGGAAGATTGCATAATACTATACTACTTCATATATAGTGTAAGGACTACAATGTTATACTTCCAGTTCCTCTCCCCTTGGGGCTTTGGTTGTTATAGATTTTATTTTTCATGTTCGGAAACCCACTACATTTTACTTACTATTTTTGTTTTAGACAATTATCTTACACACTAACGTTGGGAGGATGGAATGCATGAAGATGTGAAAAGTACTGAAAACAATGCTTAACACTGGGCAGTGTCCAATAGATGTCAGCTATTGTTAGCTGATACATGTTTCTGATCTATCCTTATCAACTAATTCACCTATTCCTTTGCCAATACCATACCATTTTGATAGCTGGGAAAGGCTCAACCCACTATTCTTCTTTTAATGGCTTTTTTCCTCTAAAACTTAATTCTCCATAAAAAATTTAAAACATTTCACCACTTTCAAGACAGAAAAAAAGAAAGCAGCATTCATTTTAACAAATGATGTTAGAACAAATTGGATAATTAAAAATATAAATATCAACCTTTACTTTGCAATCCACACAAAAATTAACAAAAATGGTTTGTTAACCTATAGGTAAAAGCAAAAACTATAAAACTTCTAGAAGAAAATATCACAAAACTCTTCATGACTTTGGAGTAGGCAAAGATTCCTTAGATGGGACACACAAAAAAAACATGAATTGTACAAGAAAGCATTGATGCATTTCATGCAACGGGCACTGTGATTTGCCACCAGACCCTTCTTCAGAAATAAAAGATTTGTGATCTCAGTTGTGAGAATTGCCACCACTAGACAGCCCTCAGCCCTTGCAGATGGACGCTAAGGGACTACCTTGGCTGAAGACACTCCCCATCCTTACCCACAGGCACACCCATCCGTCAGGAAGCTTGCATCCAGCGATGTTCATTGGGGACATTAAAACCTGGTCCTATTGCCACTACTCAGAACAGCTCTAGTAGGTCAGTTCACTGTCAGAACATCCCATGGGGTCCGCTGAGGCAGACCATTGAGACTGTGCGGTCCTGTTTCTTTCCCTCCCACATCCCTAACAGATGCACCTCATATACCTTCTGTACTCTAATTTTCAACTCAGTGTTGGTTTCCAGGGAATTCCAGCTTGAGACCTTGGGCTTTATTAAAATTAAAATCTGTTCTTTGAAAGACAATGTGAAGAAAATGAAAAGGCAAGCCATAAACAGGGAAAATATATTCACAATACATATATTAATCAAAAACCTGTATCTATAACGCACAAAGAACTCTTACAACTCAATAATAGAAAGTCAACCCAATAAGAGCCAGGCGCAGTGTCTCATGTCTATAATCTCAGCACTTTGGGAGGCCACAGTGAGCAGATTGCCTGAGGTCAGGAGTAGGAGACCAGCCTGGTCAACATGGCAAAATCCTGTCTCTAATAAAAATACAAAAATTAGCCAGGCATGGTGGTGGGCCCCTATAGTCCCAACTACTCAGGAGGCTGAGGCAGGAGAATCATTTGAACTCAGGAGACGGACATTGCAGTGAGCCAAGATTGTGCCACTCTCTCCTTGACTGTAATGTTTCCACTGAAAAGTCTGCTTCCAGTCCTATTGGAGCTCCATTGCATGTTATTAGTTTCTTTTCTCTTACTCCCTTGAGGATTCTTTGTTTATCTTTCAATTTTAGGAGTTTGATTATTAAATTCCTCGAGGTACTCTTCTTTGGGTTAAATCTGCTTGGTGGTCTATACCTTCTTTTAACTAGATATAGCTATCTTTCTATAAGTTTGGGAAATTTTGTTATTATCCCTTTGAATAAACTTTCTACACCTATCTCTTTCTCTACCTCCTCTTTAAGGCCAACAAGTCTGAGATTTACTCTTTTCAGGTTATTTTTCTATATCCTGTAAGTGTGCTACTTTCTTATTTCTTTTTCTTTTGTCTCCTCTGACAGTATTTTCAAATAGCTTGTCTTCAAGCTCACAATTTTTATTCCTGCCTCATAAATTCTGCTATTAAAAGATTCCGATGTGTCCCTCATTATGACCATTACATTTTCAAATACAAAATTTCTGCTTTATTCTTTTTATAATAGTTATTTCAAACTCTTTGTTAAATTTATCTGGTAGAGTTCTGAGTTCCTTCTCTCTGTTATCTTGAATTTCTTTGCATTTCCTCAAAACAACTATTTTGACTTTTCTGTCTGAAAGGTCACATATCTGTTTCTCTGGGATTGTTCCCTGGCGACATATTTAGTTCAGTTGGTGATGTAATGTTTTCCTTGATGGTCTTGATACTTG